AAAAAAAAAAAAAAGAGTAACTGGCATATGACCAAACAGATGCACTGCTGACTTCTACCAGACGTTTAAAGAACTAACACCAATGGTCCCCAAATCATTCCATAAAGCAGAAAGCAAAAGATCACAAACTCTTCTATGAAGCCAGTATTATTACCCTGATTCCAAAACTGGATAGGTTAAGGACACAGAAACAACAATAACAAAATTATAGATAAATTTCCTTGATGAACATAGATGCAAATGTCCTCTAGAAAATACTAACTCAACAATACATTAAAAAGACTGTATGTCATAACCAAATTGGTTTCATTCTATGGATGTTAGGATGGTTCAATATCCACAAACCAAGAAATGAATACAATACATAAACAGAATCAGGAACAAATACCACACAATTATCTCAATACATCTTCAGCCAGGCTCAGAAAGACAATTATTGTAAATTTCTCCCATATGGTAGTTTAGATGAAGAAAAAGAGAGAAAGAGGATATGGATGTGAAAGGGGGAAGGAAAGTGAGCTAGGGAAGAGAAAATAGAGTGATGGGAGGTGATTATGATGGAAGCATATTCTAAGCATGTATGAAAATGTCATAATGAAACCCATTAAATCTTGTGAAAGTTAAAGGATTCATAAACAAAAGAGTAAGTGGATCAATACAGAATGAGTACAGAAGTAAGATTATTATTGCTCTACCACTTGAGTTATGTCTCCAGTCTCTTTTGCTTTGGTTTTTAAATAGTATCTACCATTTTTGCCTAGGTTCTGCGTGGACTATGATTATCCCATATACCCACATAAATGGCATGTCAGGCATATGGTACTAAGGCCCAAGTTTTTGTTGTTCAAGAGGGTGTATCTGTAACGTTTTCCCCTAGAGCACATGTCAATCTCCATGTCCCATGAACCACCAGTGCCATATGGACAATCTTTTAAAAAGATCAGCATTTACTAATAAAATTTAGTTTTTCTATGTAGAAATACAGTATTATTTTTAGTATGTAATGAACCCTACTGACTGTCAAAATGGATATTCTAAAGGAACTGAGTATGGTCTGAAATAGCAAGGTTATGTACAATTTTTCTTTTGCCAATTTTTACATTGTGTATATGTGTGTGCGCACATGTGTGCACATGTGAACACATGCACGTATGTGTGCTCTTCTTGAACTTTTTTTGCTCAAGTCCAGCACTCTAGTACTTGAAGTTGGTTAATTAGAAGAGTTTCATGGACTTTCCTGTCCTGGCTGGCTTTGAACTGCAGTCTCAGATCCTTAGCCTCCTAATTAGCTAGAATAACAGGGGTAAGCCACCAGTGCCCTGTTGATTTTTACATTTTGAATGACTAATTTTTCATCAACTTCCATTTCTTTTTTGGGGGGGGGGTCCAGTCGTGGGGCCTGAACTCTGGGCCTGGGCGCTGTCCCTCAGCTCTTCAGCTCAAGGCTAGCGCTCTACCACTTGAGCCACAGTGCCACTTCCAGCTTTTTTCGTTTTGCTTATGTGGTGCTGAGGAATCAAACCCAGGGCCTCATGCATCTCATGCATGCAAGGCAAGTGCTCTACCACTAAGCCACCTTCCCAGCCCAATATATTCTATTTTTTTACATTATGGAGAAATAATTGTGTGATAATATGTGTAGAATTTATGTCCCTGAACTAAACAGGTATTAGCTTAATTTCTTTTTTTTTTTTGGATCCAGTTGTGGGGCCTGAACTCTGGGCCTTGGCGCTGTCCCTCAGCTCTTCAGCTCAAGGCTAGCTCTCTACCACTTGAGCCACAGTGCCACTTCTGGTTTTTTTCTTTTTGCTTATGTGGTGCTGAGGGATCGAACCCAGGGCCTCATGCATTCAAGGCAAGTGCTCTACCACTGAGCTACCTTCCTAGCCCCTTAGCTTAATTTCTTAAGGACTTTCTAGATCTTATTAAATGAATTGTGAGGGCTGGGAAGGTGGCTCAGTGGTAAAGCACTTGCCTTGCATGCCTGAGGGCCTGGGTTTGATTCCTCAGCACCACATAAGCAAAAAGAAAAAAGCCGGAAGTGGCGCTGTGGCTCACGTGGTAGAGTGCTAGCCTTGAGCTGAAGAGCTGAAGGAAAGCGCCCAGGCTCAGAGTTCAAGCCTCACGACCGGACCTAAAAAATATAAAATAAAAAAAAAATGAATTGTGATAAATTATTGTTTGTACTGAATTTGAAGGTAAAATGCTCTGACCTTTGTGTTTTGTTACTTTTACAGTAAATTAGATATTGTTGTGAATTAAGATGAATAGTTTGAAATCCAATGAATCTCTAATCTAATTGCACTGTGCTTTTAATACATAAATGTAACAGTTAAAAAATAAAGGTAATACTATTGGGAAAACTAAAGCATAAAAGGAAAATAAGATAAAGATGGTATTTAGATTTTAATGAATGTATTTGATTAAAATGGAAACCAAGTCATGACATTTCAAATTCAAGAAAATAACACAGAACCAAGCAGATGAAATTTGAAGGGTATAGCAGTGCACTAGTTGAATAAGGCCAGGACACTTCAGCATGCTAGCTCTGCATGGTTTGTTCCCCAGAAGAAAGGAAGTCCTGTGACCAGCAATTTCTTTAGAGGTCTAGTTGATATAGTCAGCCTGGGAAGAAAGGTCCATGAGATTCTTATCTCCAATTAACCAGCCAAAAGCCAGAAGTGGAGCTGTGACTCAAGTGGTAGAATGCTAGCCTTGAGCACTAAAGCTGAGGAACCTGAGTTCAAGCCCTAGTACTGGCACAAAAAGAAAGAAATCAAAAAGGAAGGAAGGAAGGAAGGAAGGAAGGAAGGAAGGAAGGAAAAGCATGTGATCCATAGTCTCTGTAAATCCAAGGACAACCCCAATTGGTGCCAGTTGTATCTGATTTTAAGAATGAATAGGCAGGTTATGGAGTAACCCTAAAAACGGGACTTGGACAAGACTTGTTTTTGTAAGACTATTCCATTTGCCAAATCACATTTTACAAATGTAAGAAATACTACAATAAAATCTTTTCTTTTGTACAAGTGCATCCTAATAAAAAGAAGAATTGAGTCAGGAGTCAGTGGCTGATACCTGTAATCCTAGCTACTCAGGAAGCTGAGATCTGAAAGTCCATGAGACTCTTACCTCCAATTAACCACCAAAAAGACAAAAGTAGTGGTTCAAGTGGTAGAGTGCTAGCATTGAGCAAAAATGTTCAGAGACACTGCCCAGGCCCTGAGTTCAAGCCCCAGGACCAACACACACACACACACACACACACACACACACACACACACACAAACACACACACAGAATTGTTTTAAGTTTTAGAACAAGCTAAGGTTAACTATAGTCTTTTGGGTCATGTATTTGTCCATCCATAACCATATCTGTAGCTACCGCTTCTGAATATAATGGTGTTCCAAGACAGCAACTCTGGGTCTGGGAAGGTGGCTCAGTGGTAGAGCACTTGCCTTGCATACATGAGGCCCTGGGTTTGATTCCTCAGCACCACATAAACAAAAAGAAAAAAAAAAGCCAGAAGTAGCGCTGTGGCTCAAGTGGTAGAGCGCTAGCCTTGAGCTGAAGAGCTGAGGGACAGCACCCAGGCCCAGAGTTCAGGTCCCATAATCAGACCCCCCCCCAAAAAAAAGAAAGACAGCAATTCTGTCAGATTTCACTTTTGGCATCATCCCCTCTGTCCAGCATGGCCCTAGACTCCATCCTTGTCATATAGCCAACACAGCACCAGCCCCTCATTGCGATTTCTATTATAGTCTTGTAAATTCTGCTAAACACAATTACCAGCAAATGACCTTGCAGAAAGCTTTGGACAGTTATTTAGATTAGTTGACTTTTTGCCCAATCATCTACTATCCTATTTTTCTTTCAATTTCACTATAGTAACACTTGCTTGCTACCTTTACTTTTTATAACATAGCTCAAATATATTCAGCTTTCACATTATAAGAAAGACTTGAACCAAGCCGGGCGCTGGTGGCTCACGCCTGTAATCCTAGCTACTCAGGAGGCTGAGATCTGAAAGTCCATGAGACTCTTACCTCCAATTAACCACCAAAAAGACAAAAGCTGTAGCTCAAGTGGTAGAGCGCTCGCCTTGAGCTGAAGAGCTGAAGGACAGTGCCCAGGCCCAGAGTTCAAGCCCCATGACCGACAAAAAAAAAAAAAAAAGAAAGACTTGAACCAACTCATCTGATATAATATGTTGTGTAACTTCTAATAAATCTGGGCATGAAATATCTCCAGTAGAATCTCTATGTAAAAAGGAGCAACTTTTTTTTTCCACCCAAAGCAACAGTGAATAGTGGCATGTATTCAAATTCTAGTCATTCAAGGAAAAATGTGAGAAAGCCCTTCCACCCCCAATCTTTGTCAACTAAAACAGTAAAATTCCAAGAAAGGAGAACAAATCTTTTGTGTCTAATCCAGTAGCAGAAATGAAGTGGCTGAGTCTCTAATAACGTTCATTATAGATTCCTTAGTCTAGGCAATGATTACAAATTTCATGCATTTAATCTGAACAGTGATAATTTAGTTGCTTTCCCAATGACTCATTTTGCAAACCATTGGCCATTGGTGTGCTGGCTGGAATGGGCCATGCGTTTCCTTCCCGCTGATATCACTGGAAATCTTGAGTCCAGATCAAAGCCACTGGATGTGTCTCTGACCTTTCTTCACAATGCACAGTGGGGCCCGATTTCTCAGCTTAGAAATTCTGCTTTTGTTTCACTGACCCCACGGAGGTTACCACTTGCCAACAGCCTACACATAGATGTTCTCTGAAAACCCTACAATGAGCTCTTTGGAAAGGGGCTCTTAGATTCTAGTTTTCAAATGATTTCTTAATCTACTCCCAGGTTTCAGGAAATCCATTGTGGGTTGCATTAGTGAAGAGAGAAAACCCAGGTGAGTGGAGGGGCAGTACTAGCTCTGGCCCCAGAGAAGCTCCTTGGAACCTGGAGATGCAGTGGGAGAGCTGGCCTGTGCCTTACCTTGATAGTCATGTCTGGGTAGGATGTTTCCGTAGCTCCCAAGGTTGCCTCCTCCACTGTTAGCAGCATACTCTCCCACCCAGTTCCTGGAGAAAACAAAAAGCAAAAAAAGTCCATTTGAGCCAAATGGATATAGCTGACACAAAAGAGCATATAGCTGTCATTTTGTGGATTACAAATTCACATAATTTGTAAAGAAACCCATGATGACCTATGGCTCCTAATCTGTCTGGTAGTTGATGTTGACTAGGAAAGTTTGCTTTGTGAACTATGGTCAGTTAACGCTTCCTTTGTTTTCTGTGTTTTTTTTTTTTTGGGTAACCTAATCTCTTACTGCAGGATCCATCAGGTATTTTATAGAGAATTCCAATCCAATCCAAACCCAGATTAGAAAAGGGGGCTCGAATGGATTCCTCCAACATGGAAGCCTGATACATTTGAGGCTTAAACTGAATCCAGAACACAGAAATATGTAATATCTGTCACAGTACACAGTAGAAATAACCCAACACTGGTATGGTAGTACATGCCTGCACTCCCAGTACTTTGAGAGACCAAAGAAGGAAAATCTTTAATTCAAGGTTAGCCTGGGTTGCCTAGGGAGACAAGGGGAGAATATGTCTCAAATACCAGGAAGTAGAAACATGTTTTATTTTGGAGAGGGGCCAGTGGGGAGAAACCTGAATGGAGGGAGAAAGGGTGAGCAAATGTAGTCATTATATTCAATGTACACTTTGTAAAAACTGAACTATGTACATACTTGAGTATATGGATGGGAGGGGGGAATGGGGGAAAATGATGGAAGGGGTGACCTTGATCAAGATATATTGTACTCACAATCTGATTTATGGAATTGTAACTCTTTGTGCAATTACTTATCAATAAAAAAGTTTTAAACCCCATAAAAACAAATGATTCTAATTCTAGATTATTCTAATTCTCTTCTCAATTCCACATACATACTAGAAATAATGGAGTATTTATTTTGTGTGTATGTGTGTGTGTGTGTGTGTATGTATGTATGTATTGTCTACATGTGTGCTGGTACTGAGGCTTGAATTAAGGGTCTTATACTCTTGCTTGGGTGGTTTTTTACTTATGGATGGTGCTCTACCACTTGAGCCATACCTCTAGTCTGTCTTATTGCAGATGGAATCTTGTGGGCTATTCTGCTTGGGCTAGTTTTGAACCAAAATCCTCCAGATCTTGTCCTTCTGAATAGCTAGGCTTATAGGCATGAGCCACCAACATCTGACTCACTCTTTCTTTCCTTCTTTCTTTCCTTCCTTCCTTCCTTCTTTCTTTCCATCTTTCTTTCTTTCTTTCTTTCTTTTTTCCTTCATTCCTTCCTCCCTCTGTCCCTCCTCCCTCCCTCCCTTCCTGCCCCGCTCCTCCCTTGTGCTAAGGATCCAACCAAGAGGCTTTTATATGCTAGGAAAGAACTCTACCACTGAGCTGCATGCCCAGTCCACACAAACTTATTTAATTTGTATACATAATTTCCTGTTTGGGAAATGAGTGTTCCTAACCAAAGCTGTCAAAAAGGTTTTCTTCAATAAGTTAAAACAATCTGCCATATTTGTTTACCTAATTAATTTCCTTAATAAGAAATTTTCCTTAAAGTAACTCAAGAACAATATTCATTCCAATTAGCCCAATTCAAAGATTCCAAGTGCTCCCATCATGTTAATTCATGATTGGCAAGCTTTGCTGGTGGCCACATAGTAAATATGTTAGGCTTTAGTGCTATCTTCTCTGTTGTAATTTCTCAAGCTGCTATTACAGGGTGCAAGCAGCCATTAGACAAATTATAAACAAATGGGCATAGCTAGCATCCAATAAACAGTAGCCCATATTTATCCCATGAGGCATATTTTACCAGTCTCTGTGCTAAATTAACCAAATGAAGAACTGGGGACATAGCTTAGTGGTAAAGCCCATACTTAGCACGTGTGAGACCCTGTGCTTAGTAAAATAACTAGAGAAACTAGGGATGTGTAAGATTACTATATCCAACATTTTCTAGCAAGAATCAACTGAATGACCAGATGGTAAAACACCAAAAATTATTGGAGTTTACATGATACCTTAAATAAATGAATAGGAAATTAAATACACTTTTATTATTTTAGTATTGCTCACTTTCCTTTATTTTATATTATATGGATTCCCATTTTATAGGCTATATGAACAATGGATTACTCAAGATCTATGGGCTGTAATTCATTTCAAAATACAATAGCTGTTGAATCTTACTGGATTGCTGAAATTGGGCCAGAAGAGTTTGGTGACATGCATGCAATCCCTTCTTGCTTTTTGTCTTTTAAATGCTGGAGATCAAAACTATGTTCTTGCCACACACTGGAGGTGCACTGGAGGCTCATGTAATGGAGGCCTGTAATTGTAACTACTCAGAAGGCTGAGATCTGAAGATCACAGTTTGAAAGCAGCCTGGGAAGGAAAGTCCATAAGACTCGTATTTCCAATTAATCACCAAGAGCCGAGGTATGGCTTAAGTTCTAGAGCACTAGCCTTGAGCAAAGAAGCTCAGGGACAGTGCCCAGACCCAGAGTTCAAGTTCTAGTTCTGGCACACAGACAAAATAAAACAAAACCAGAGCCTTATATATGATAGAGAAATGCTCAACCACTGAGCTATATGTGTAATGGTTTTATCTTAACTGCAAATTTCTCAGAAAAAAAAACCCTTTACTTCCATATAGATTATTTCCCTACTATGTATTGCATTTCACAGACTAATTGTCACGCTTGAATTATTTTACTGTTGGTAGATTCGACTCACAGAGACACAGATGTTGGGTGGTAGACAATTATGTGATGTGTAGTTCATGTAATAGTTCGCATTGTTGATCTGCCCACATTCACCTCCCTCCTCTCCTACTGTGAGAGAAAGCTCCTCCCTATCCTGCTGATGTTTGTTTGCCTTTGGCCAATGAGGTACAAGAAGGCAGCACAAGCAAAGGCCTGCAATGGGCCTATCTGAGGCTTGTCCTCTTGCACTCCACTGTGGTGGGAGAGAGACATGTCCCAGGATGCAGACTTGGAGGGAACAGACTTGGAACCAAACCAAGTCTAGATCAGTCAATTCCAGCCCCACTTCATATACTTCACATTAAACAGGACTGAGTTTGGAGATGATTTGTGAAGAAGCATTATTGTAACAATAGCTAATAGGAGCTAAAGCAAGATATAAGCAAAATTAGAAGTAAAACAATTTTAGATCAAGTACTTTTTTTTTTTCGCTCCCATGTTGCTTTGTTGCTCAAGTTGGTGTTGTATTCTTGGGCTCAAACAATCCTCCTGCCTCAGCCTCACAGGTATCTGGGATACAGATGCACCCCACCATATCTCCTGGATCACCTAATTTGTGTGTGTGTGTGCACACATGCACACATCAGGGGGCCTAGGCTCTGTCTCTTGGCTTTTTCCTCAAGGTTAGTGAGCTACCCCTTTGAACTACAGCTCCATTTCTGGATTTGGGGTGATTAACTGGAGAAAAGATTTTCAGAAACTCTTCTGCTGGGTCTGGCTTTAAATCTTGATCCTCAGATCTCAGCCTCCCCATTAGCTAGGATTACTAGTGTGAGCCACGAGCACTAAGCTGGATCACCTCCTTTAAATCTGTGCAACTCTTTGTAGCATAAAAAAATTTCATTTATAGCCAGGTGTTAGTAGGATTGCAGTTCAAAGCCAACCTGGGCAGGAAAGTCCATGAGACTCTTTTTTTTTTTGTCGGCCATGGGGCTTGAACTCTGGGCCTGGGTGCTGTCCCTCAGCTCTTCAGCTCAAGGCGAGCGCTCTACCACTTGAGCTACAGCGCCACTTCCGGTTTTCTGGTGGTTTATTGGAGATAGGAGTCTCATGGTCTCTCCTGCCCGGGCTGGCTTTGAACCTGGATCCTCAGATCTCAGCCTCCTGAGTAGCTGGGATTACAGGTGTGAGCCACCAGCGCCCGGCTGTCCATGAGACTCTTATCTCCAATTAACCACCAGAAAACTGGAAGTGGCACTATGGCTCAAAGTGGTAAGGGACTAACCCTGAGCACAAAAGCTCAGGGACAGCACCCAGGCCCTGAGTTTAAGCAAACCCCACCACCACCAACAACAAAAATTCATTTTCAAGAATTGATTTTTAGCTATATGTATTATTTTACTTTGGGAAGTATTTTTATATGTGCTTGTCCTTGGGCTTGAACTCAAGGTCTGGGTGCTGCCCCTGAGCTTTCGTGCTCAAGGATAGTGTTCTACCATTTGGAACCACGGATCCATTTCCAGATTTTTGGTTAGATTCTTCCTGTCCAGGATGGCTTTGAACTGAGATCCTCAGATTTCAGCCTCCTGAGTAGCTAGGATTACAGGCATGAGCCACCAGCACCTGCTCTTTTGGGAAATATTTTCTGTTTGCTAGTCTTTTCTTTCAAAAATGCTCTAAGACCATAAGAATGAGATACGAGACAAACATATTAGTATTCTTAAAATTTTAGCCTGAAATCAATAATACAATCCAAATTAGTCTATTGTTTTCTGGCAAGAGTAAAAGAAAACAGACATGATATTTTCATTAAAAAATGTTATTAATCATGGGCTGGGTTTAAAGGTTGGTGGTAGAGTCCCTAGAAACACTACTACTTGTTACTCAGTACATAAGAAATCAAACCAAACCTTCAGAAAACAACAACAACAACAACAACAACAACCTCCTCCCCCAAACCTCCTCTTCCTCCTTTCCCTTCTTTCCTTTCTTCTTCATGCTGGCCCTGAACTCGGGGCCTAAACACGTCCCTAAGCTTTTGTGCACAAGGCTAGCACTCTACCACTTGAGCCAAAGTTGCATTTTCAACTTTTTGGTATATTTTTTACTGGACATAAGAGTCCCACAACCCTTCCAACAGGGCTAGCATTGAACTTCAATCCTCATATCTGTTCCTGTGTAGAGCTAGGATTATAGGCATAAGCCACTGGTGCCTGGTGAGACTTGTCTTCTTATAGCAGCAATATAAATACTTCATTAGAGATTATTTTAGATAGATCTCTTAGACATAAATCAATTGTCATGAATTTTTGAAA